GGCCATGCTACCGGTTCACTGGTTCAACCGGTCGAACGTCCGACCGGTTGGAAGAACCGGACGACGTCATATTATTTAAAAAATTAAATAAAAATACCAAAAATATTTAATAAAAATAATTTTTTATATTACAAGTCATATTCAAAGTAAGTCATAATATATAAGTTCATAAAATCAAGTGAAACAAAATGATTCAAATTAACTACAACATAATATTTAAGGTAAAACATATTAAATAATAAATATAATTATATAACTATAATTAAAAAATAAATTTGGGGTTAAAAAATCATAACAAAATGATATTGTTTGGTTTAATTTTTTTTTAAAAACAATCCCACATGGCTAAGAAACATAGAAGAGCATCCCAAAAGTCTAAAGAGTAAAAATATGAGAACAAAACAATCTCAAATTGCTAAGAAACATAGAAGAGCATCACAACTAACTTCTATAAATAATAGAGATAATTTGACATTCAAAATCATGGAGCCTTTTGGTGAGCATTGAGTGAATTATTCTTTCATTTTAATCAAGCTCGAGTTTTAGGCTTCAATCGAGCTTCTAAATTTTTTTTAGTTCAAGCCTTTTTGAGTTCAAGTTTTAATATTATATTTCGAGTTTGAGTTGAACTTGATAATTTTTAGCTTGTGAGTTTGAGTCGAGTTGAGCTTACTTTTAAAGTTTTCAAGTTCGAGTCGAGCTCATCAATACTTGAGTTCGACTTGGCTCGTTTAACAAACGACGTTGTTTGGTTTAATTTTTTTTTAAAAATTCCGGTTTTTTCCGGTTTTCAGCCGGTCCGGTTCGAACGGTTCAGTAGTTCTGACCAGTTCACTAGTAGTGGTTTAATCGGTTTAGATTGAACCGGACTAACACACATTCCCGATTGAACCGGTTAAACCGACCGATTCGATCCGATTTTCAAAATAATGAATAGAACATCATCATCATCGTCGTTTTAACTTGTTCTATATGATGCTTAAATCACTACCCAAAGTTCATCTGTTCCCCGTACAAAATTACCAGTGTTTTTATATGAAATAATGATTTTGTTCATATGAAAAAATAATAGAAGCTGGCGAGAACCAGGCAATATTGGATGGATACATGCATTATTGTTCGTGGGTTGTATAGATATCAATTCCAGGACCACAACCCAAGTCAGTTCCACAATGGGAATAGCAAAATTCCAGCATTAAAGATATGGATAATATTATGGAATTAGGGTGATGGTTAGAGCAAATGGGTACTCATGTTAGCCATCATTTGTTGATAAGAGAAAAAAGGTTGTAAGGAAATGATTTGTCAACTCCACCTGTAGTAGTAATCATTTGTTTATGGGTCAAATGGGTTTATCATTACAAACCAACTGCGCTCACCTCCATACATCATTTCATTGCCACATTAAGTTTGATATCAAACAAGTAATGTTATAAACTCATTGATGATCTAGGGATAGGTCGAAAGAGCCCTAAAAAATTTATATTATCATGTATTTTAAATATTATTTTTATTAATAATATAGTTTTATGTTCCTTAAAATTTTAATCGAATTTTTACTTAAAATACTTGATACCAATTTAAAACAAATATTGATATAATACTAACTACTATGCTCCTTACACCAACAATCAAATAAGAAGCAAGCTTACAAACATGCATAGTACATGATGTATTATCTCTTAATGAGGTTCTCACTTTCTGCCATTTTCGTCTTCTTTATAAAGTGAAAAATATTTACTTTTTTCATGATCATGGATCTTTAATTAATATATAGAGCAAAGAGCATCTCAGAATAAAAAATTACTTGTTGCTTAATTTACCTTAACCTTTATTCTTTAGAAAAGAGACATGGGATTGGATTGAATACCTAAGCAGGCCCAGGAAGTGGGTCACTTTGCAGGTTTTTTTTTTCAATATCCCAATCGGGTTAATTATTTAAGATATTAAGTCAACATGGACTTTATTTTAAAAATTACGGTACTCCTACATTGAACACGTCACCTCGACGTGACGAGTTTTGAAGATGTTATTTTTAAATTGTCCTTGTGATGTGAGCATCACGTGAACCATTATTTTATTATCATTAAAATGACTTATCACATCATCGTGACAAGTCCGTTTAAAAATATTTTTTAAATTACAAAAATAAAATATATATATTAAAAAAATTAAGTGAACTCATCACGTCGAGTTGACGAGTTCCTTCAAATTAAAAAATAGTTGTTGGTCAACGGCTATATGGGCAACCGTCACTTGGGTGACTAGTTCAGTCGGATAAAATTTAAAAAAATACAAAGTAATTAAATAATTGGAAAAAAATAAATATTTACAATAAAAATTTATTTATATTTCTTAAGTTCTTGATGATGTCGCGGAGTGGTCAATGATAATGTCGCGGGGCTTGTCGAGTACATAAGGGTCGTAGGCTTTGATAGCCGCCGTCATTATCGTCGTCGTTGTCTTATCAAGAAGGTGTACTTAACACACTCTGTGATCCACATTCAAAATGCGGTAATGGATTTATGACATTTGAAGCCATCATGTCATAACTGCTTCGACTTGGCTTCTACTTTGTTGATCATATATGATATGGTCTCACTCACCCGCAACCGCATATTCTGTCGAAGATGCTTGAGTGTATCGCGATGCATCCCATGAACCTCTAACCCAATTCGATCGAGTCTCGGCTGAAGTATGAAATGGATGATAGAAACCGAAACTAACATGAGATGCATAATAGTACTTTTCAGTTGTAGATGCTGAAGCGAAGAAAACAGTGTCGATGTTTTTTTCTTGGACTTGGCGCATGTGGCCTCATGATGTTTACATTCTCCCCTCTCTTCCGGTGTCGTGAGATATAGTTTCTCATTTGCTTCGTAATTATGAAGATATGAAGAATAGTCAAAATTTAGGTCTAACGGTGTAATGTCGAGACGCGAAGGGAGAGATTGTTCACGCTGATTCCTCGCGTCGATGTATATAGCGTGTTTCACCGATCGATTTTTTGTATGTTTCCCACGCGTACCAATTCTATGTATTGCGTCCATATCAACCATCTATGTAGGAATCGACTGATACGACACAAACTGTCGCATCACTCTATCAGCAGCGTCTCACTCAACAATTGCATAATGCAATAACGGCGTCACGGGTACACCATAAATGGGACCCCTAAAAAAATCCCTTGGCATTAACTGGTTGATCTCCTTGTCAACATAGGGAAGCTAAAAGAACTGTAAATATTAAATATCAAAATTAGTATATATAAAGTTAAAAATTTTCAAAAAAATAAAAAATAAAAAATCTCATGTCATACAACATATCGACCGGCGATGTCGATCATCATCCGTATATTTTGTGCAGTGACACCCGCCAACTTCGTCTTGAATATTTTATGATGTCATCTAATTTTTTTTTAAATATATATATATATATATATTATAAACAAATAAAAAAGTCGCTGAAATTTATAAAATTAAAAAAAAAATCATAACAAAATAATCACCTTGCAGCCATAGGAAACTCGATAGGAGCTGTTGTAATTGGAGTCATAAACGGGAATCGATACTAAGCCCACGACCGTAACAATATCAGATAGCCGACGACATCTATTTTTGACCCGGCTGGACAATTGCAGCCCTTACAAAGCTCCTAATACATAAAGACAAAAATCTCCGAGCCTCAACTGGTATTACGACACACAACAAAGTCTTCCAAATATCGCAGATACTGAGTGTGCACCAAATTATCGGATTTATCTGGTAATAATACACCTCCGATCAGTTGAAGAAGATATGCTCAAGACATGAAAATAATATCTTCCTCGGTAGACTCGCCTGTCACTTGCAATTCCAATTCCAACTATGTTATATGTACTTGAAAGCCGTTGATGACATCGGATGGTGGCCATTTTCCCAAAACTTGGTAGACCAACGATGTGGGGTCGTACATGTTATGACTCACATCGGAGGCTTCATTCACAGGAGCGTTGAGTTGGTAAGCGATATCTTCCAAAGTAATCGTCGCTTCACCACTCGAGAAGTGGAACGTGTGCGTCTCGGGCCGCCAACGTTCGACCAGAGCTTCAATCAACGTCAGGTACAACTTGAAGTCACATAAAAATATGGACGAAAATGGACCAGATTGCTACAATATATCACGATATGCTGATGTGGCTCTCCGTATGTCATATCGCGCTTTGAATATTCCATTCATCATCCGGCCGGCATACGATCGAAGAAACATGGATGTTATCCATACGCAACATATATTATCGGGTTGCTATTTTTTGAGATTTTGACAGAATGTATGTTTTTTATATTTTTTTTGGATTTAGGGTTTAGTGAAAAACCAAAAATCCAAACCTTATTTATAATCTTACATCCAACAGTTATAAACGGCTATTGAGAAAAATACTTGGTCGAACTCGTCATCTAGAGATGACGTGTTCCAAGTGATTATTACCTATATAATTGTTGACCCAACAACTACTTTTTTTTAATTTGAAAAAACTCGTTACCTCGACGTGATAAATTTTACTTAATTTTCTAATTCATACTTTTTATTTTATTTTATTTTTGTAATTGAAAAAAATATTTTTTAAACGGACTCGTTATATCAAAGTGACAAGTCATTTTAATGATAATAAAATAATAATTCATGTGAAGTTCATTTCACTTGAACAAATTAAAAATAATATATTTAAGAAGTGAGAATTGTCTGTCCAGCTTAGTTGGTAGAACACAAGGCTATTAATCTTGGGGTCGTGAGATCGAGTCTCACGGTGGGCAATTCATAATTCGGAGGTTTCTATGGAAGCTACTCTCAACCTGGTGTTGGGGACAACCTACTATACTACCTCCCCTTACTCTATTACATATGAAAATAATGGTTAGCTAATTTTTTTAATATTTAAGAAGTGACGAGTTTAGTATTCAATTTAGAGAATGTGGTACTTTCCAAAATAAAATTTAGGTTTACTCAATACCCTTTTCTAAATTCATTCCCTCCGATTCGTCAGGGTCCAATTCACTGAGAAACTACCAAGTCAACCGAGTGAAGAAATTAGAAGCTTTCCCCAAATCTTCCTTCGCCACAGACAAAACGTGAATAAGAAATATCCGTACAGTTGAGGCTGAAGGAAACAACAATTTTGAAGATGGATGAAGATCAAGGTAACGACGGGTTTCTAGACATGGGAAAAGCTGATAAATCGGTATGGTTAATGAAGTGCCCCGTCGTGGTGGCCAAGTCATGGAAGAACCAAGCATCTTCTTCTTCTTCTGATTCTCAGCCTGTCGCCAAGGTCGTCTTCTCTCTCGACCCTCTCAAACCCGATGAGCGTCAGGTAACACTAAATACTTGACAACAATTGCTTCAATTTAGCAGATGGTTGTGGGTTTTGATGTATGCCGGCTTCTTTAATTTTCATGAATTGGCCGTGTGTTTTTTTCGAGTGAAAATTGCAGTGAAAGTTCCTTTTTTATTCGCCGTGTAATCTAACGAGGCAAACATTTGATGACATGCTTGTTATGAGTTAAACATTGCTTATTAGGAGTTTATGAATTGATATTTACAGTTTACTATGGAGATGATTGGATCGGAGACCGAAAGAATACCGAAAAGCTACACTCTGAACATGTTCAAAGACTTTGTTCCTATGTGTGTCTTCTCTGAAACAAGTCAAGGTCAGAGTTTTGGTTCTTTGCTTCTATTGCTTCTCAGTTATTCAAGTTTGTGTTTTCATCAATTGTTTTTTTTTAAATTTATTAACATAAAGTTTATTCCTTTTTTCCTGTTCTGGCTTGGTTAGACCTGGTTTGTATGTGTCATGTTCCAGTCTCTTTTTTTTTTCTTTTACTTAAAACACGAATATCCTTAAGCATGTAGTTATATTGTGTTCAAAATTATCTGATGCTTACGGTGACTTGAAGGGACAATTTATCGCATGATGATTTTCTTATAAGAACCCTTTTGTCGTTTCTCTTGCTTAAGTTTTTTTTTTTTTTTTGACCTGATTTTGTTATAGGAGCGGTTGCTATGGAAGGAAATGTTGAGCATAAATTTGACATGAAGCCACATGAAGAAAACATTGAGGAATATGGGAGATTGTGTCGAGAAAGGACAAATAAGTCCATGATCAAGAACAGGCAAATACAGGTAGGTCAATGAGTATGCATTGGCTTCGGGAAAATACATTTTTTTCCTTTGATGTTACTATGGTGCCTATCATCTTATGTGTTTTTGATGCATTTTCAAGGTTATTGATAACGATCGTGGAGTGCACATGAGGCCAATGCCTGGAATGATTGGCCTGATTTCATCCAACCCCAAGGTACTTGGATACATGGTCTCTAGAGAGTAGTATATACAATTTATTTGCTCTTAAACGTAAACAAGTTTGAAGTTGGAATTATACTTTCAAATTTCCTATTGTCCATTGTCTCTGAGCAGGATAAGAAAAAAACAATGCCAGTTAAACAGCCAGAGGTGAAGAGAACCCGGAGGGATCGTGGGGAACTGGAAGATATTATGTTCAAGCTGTTTGAAAGACAATCAAATTGGACTTTAAAGCAACTTGTCCAAGAGACTGATCAGCCTGCTGTAAGCCCTTACATGTCTTGGTCTTTGTACCATTGGATTTGTCTTATGGTTTATAACAATAATTTGTGTTTTCTTTGCTGTAATATGTAACTCTGCCCATATCGTAGAAATTGCAATTTGCTTCTTAAATGAAAATAAAAACATCACCGAAGGCACAAAAAATAAGTATTCTGTAGTTTGTTGTTTTTGTGCCTTTTTAGCGGTTATCATGTATTTTATGTGTTTTAAAAATTTTCTTTACTTTCTTTGCAGCAATTCCTGAAAGAGATATTGAACGAGCTCTGCGTGTACAATAAGAGAGGTGCCAATCAAGGAACCTACGAGCTTAAGCCGGAGTATAAAAAATCTGCAGAGGACACTGCAGATGAATAGGTCTGACATAGCTTTATTGTAACCTACATTTCCATTTTCTCTCGGCTTTTGCTTCAGTTAATGGAACATGTAACGACGACAATCGATAAACAGATAAAACAGCTATAGGAACCAGGAAAAAGGAAACTTGGCCGCTCCGCATGTTATAATCTATATATCAGAATAAAATTCGGAAGGAGAATGGGGCATTTATATTATCTGAATTTGCATCTGTGTTTCTTACATATGAAGTTCCATCACCTATCCGGGAAAAGGAAACATATAACATGTTTCAAACACAATTTAAACCCTTTTCAACTGCCAACTGATTCATCTTGTTAGACCCACGCTACTAAGATGATGAGTATCTTGACAATGGAAAAAATTCTATAACCATCTCCATTAAAATGGCCTGATTGAACCTGGCTATTGATAAACTTGAGCTTTAATTTGGTAATAGTGGGGGGTTAGGGTGCCCCATTTAAGGGACCCTTCTTTCACCACTGTAAGAGGAGACTTTGTTGCTCTCATTAACGTTGTTACTTCGATGCTAAAAGTGGGAATGGAACCCAATACCCGATTAAATTGGAAGAGAGGGAGATTAAGAAAGGAATAATTATTTATGAAGAAATCAAGGGGAAATTACTAGGAAAGGTGTTTAATTTAAGGTAAAAATTACTCAAAATGTTTTAAACAACTTATAACATTTTGTGCTTGAATCTAAGACTTTTAGGAATAATAACTATTCTTTTAACTATTGAGTTAATTTGATTCGTGTCATTTTAATTAATTTTTAATTATACAATATTCATATCAAAATTGTAATAAATTAAGAAATTTTATAACTTTTTGAGTAATTTTTATCTTAAATTAATTATTTTACTCTATAATTATCCAGAATTAAGTATAGAATTAAAGATGTCTCTTTAATTCCTCTTAACTCGAGTTGTAAAAAATTTTATGTCATTCAAATAAGATCTTAGATTAATTTTTGCTGATATTTTATATATATATTTAAAATAGTTAAATGAATTAACTTGTTTAAGCCTTGAATTCACGATGAAAATCAAATTAGGGTCTTTCTAAAGAATTGTGTATGCTCGACAATAAAGTAAGTTTTTATGTAGAAATTCTCTGTTTCCTAAGTGGTTAACTTTTATAATTGAAATTAGGGTAAACTACGCCAATGGTCACTAGTGTTTGGGTTAGTAATCGTTTTTACCACTGATGTTTTAAAAATCATAATCGATCACTAACGTTTCCGTGTGTTTCAAATCGGCCACTCCACGTTAATAGCCGTTAATAACCGTAACGAAAATCACAGATGGATCGTTTTATGCTGACTTGATCGTTGACTGACATGGCGGACAACCATTGAAATACCTTTGACTGACTTTTATCTAGTATTATAATAAAATTTTGAAAATAATAAATATTTAATGAATATTTAATTATTAAATCAATTAAATAGAGAAAATGATGGGTGTTGTCGTTCAGTCTTATTTCTCACCAAAAGTGAGAGTTCTAAACCTTTTCTTCTTCCATTCGTCTATCAAACAAATTAATCTCAAAGAGGGTTTGAGAGAATGCTTTTAAGGTTTAAGAGAAAAAGGAGAATCGTGAGGAAAAATAGGGAACCCAAGAAATTATTTTACGATTTGAGTGATTAAGAGAAATAAAAAAAAATACTTCTCTTGAGTGAAAAACTCACGGTTTGAAGTGAAAATAGTTCTTACATGGAGACTACGACAAAGTGGAGAGAACAATATGCTTTATGGTAAGTTTCTTTTGGGTTTTGAGGGAAATTGACTGGGTTTTCTTTGGATTCCTTTTCCTTTCGTATTGTTATATGGGTTTTCATTGTTTTGAAGGTTAGCGACAACTATATGTGTTGTGTAACACCCCCAACCTGTATAAGACCCAGACCCGAGTCTGAGGTGTCACATTAACTTTTCAAGCGTTTTTCTTTACAAATTAGCTAAAATTTAACTTCACATTTCAAGAAAATGAATATTTTACATTAATTAAAATCAATTGGTTTTACAAAACATATCAGAGCATATATAATTCAAAACATTAATTACATGCCAACTACTTTCAATAAAACAACATACATACGTTTCAAAACTCTTTTCTGATATGATCTTCAGAAATAAGAGGCTGACCTATCTTGCTCCTCTTTTCTCCTTAATCTTCTCGAAACCTACGTGTGAAACATTCACACGCTAAGTCTATGACTTAGTGAGGAATATAAAACATATAATGTAACTAAAATCCCTAACAATGCATGAACATTTAATTTTATCGTATCCTACAAAATCATGTCATACAACCTCATATACCCTTTCATGCAACAAATACATACATACACATAGATCATCATTTACATGCTTAGCCTCATTTCATATCATCATATCATATATAATCGTATACTATTTCATGTTCCTATAATCATTTATATCTACACCACATAGCTTATATCACATTTTCCTGTTATCATTTAAATCATTTTATTCATACAATCATACAATCAACCACCTCATTACATATATATATACTTATAAAGTTCATAACATTTCTCATGTAATCACTTATACCATATCATGTAACTTACACTTTATTCTCTTATATTTATATATCATACAAATATATTTTCACATAAATAATATCACATATGCAATACATGTACCCTACATACTCATATTCAAGTATTCAACCACATATAACAATCATACAAAGTTTATTTATATTATCTCTTTATTAGCCCATGTATAATTCTGAGAACTTAAGGTATGTGAGTACTTTGAGGTTGTGCACATATGCTGTCACCACATCTCGTATAATTCCCACTTAGTGGCATATGAAATTTGTCCCAAAAGACCTCATGTATGTCTCGAAAGACCTATGTATATGTCCCGAAGGACCTATGTAACCCTCCACTCTTGGCATGCCAACTATACATATAGGTCTCATATCACATAACATGGGCATTATCATTTATGTTCATCACATTTTCACATATTCATATAATCACACAAATCATCACATACTTATCCTTGTACTTGTAATCTTATATCTTCTTTTCACATAGATCATGTAACATTCTCATGTAGCCTCATAACTCATTGTCTTATAGATATCATATAGCTTGTATCATATAACATATACTTTGTTCTCTTATGATCTCATATTCATAAATCTCTTATGCTCATATAATCATATAACTTATTATCACATAGATCATAATCTTTCACACATAGTCTCATAATTCATTATCATATGGTTTATATCATCATCACATAGCATATATTCATACAAATCATATCACATATACATTAACATATATCATATGCACTCATATCAAACACATGATTATATTCACGAATTCATGCATTCTAATATAGGAAATAGACTCGTCGCAAGTCTTATTTTTATTAAACGTCATAAACCAACTAGGATGCACTCACCTGACCTCACTAGTCAATACCGATCTCTTATCTCTTTCTCGATGATTATTACTTGGTCAACTTGTCCGAACTTTGCTCTCGATCGATATCTACATAATCATACATTTGATATGCATATCAGAATTCTAAGTACGATAGTTCGATCCTTAATAACTCAATGCTAAAAGAAAGGCTTAATAAAATTTTTGCTTTGAATAATATCGATACCCTATGTATGGTACTGATACTTCCCTAGCTGTGGTATCGATACCAAGCCTGGGTATCAATACCCATTTTCGATTGTGTGATCCTTGTTTCCAAAATGATACCGATACTGGCAAAATGGTATCGGTACCCTTAGTATCGATATTACCCCTTAGGTATCGATACCCCTTGAATGACTTGTAAAATTTTTGCTTTTGGTATCGATACTCATTCATATAGTATCGATACCCTCTCTCAAATTTTAACCCCCTTTTTCTCTTTGAAGTATCGATACTGGATGAACAATACCGATACTCCATGCCCATAATTTATCTTTTACCTCGAAAATTCACCTATACTTATATATACCTTCCATTTTTAACTCCTTTCATGCTACTAAACTTAACTCAACTTACTTAACCTATCTTATATTCATATAACACATCCTCATCCTCATCTTAAATATTTCATCATAATTCTTAAAACCAAGAATTTTACAAAATTTCCAACATGTTTTTAATTCACTTCTATTACTTCTAACTTCTTAATTAGACATTTGACAAGTCAAATTCAACTTCAGAATCCATTTACTCCTTCTATTTCAACAATTCACTTAAAAACTCATTTTACTTAATTTCTCATAACTCATCCATCTTTGAGTTTTAAGCCACTTTAAGCATTCCTTAAGCTTTCTTAACCCTCCAAGAATCAAAACCCGTCATAAAATTAAGGAACAATCAACTTGTAAGAAACTCACCTTTTAACTGAGCTCACGGGAAGAAGAGAAAGCTAGCTGAACCAAGCTCTCCAGACTTTTCTTTTCCTTTTCCCCCATTCTCCTCGTGGTTATATCCTTATAAAGGGGAGATAAAAAAATATTTCTTATCAAATAACAATTATACCCTTTCTACTTTCAAACTTTGTTATTAACTCCAACACTAAAATTCTCCAATTAAGTCCCTGAACTTTTTTTCTTTTTTGAATTGATCATTAAGTTTCAAAAACTTTCATTTTGGTCACTAACCCGACTTTTGGGATGTTATAAATCTCCCATCCTTTAAGAAAATTTGTCCTCGAATTTTCACTGCACAAATCGATAAGAACACTGCCTACACATATTTTTTAATGTTCTCATATTGCTTCCTTTACTTAATCTCTCCCGTTTACCGCTAGTAGACTTATCTTTTTTACTCACTCATTTCTTCATCTACATTCGTGCTTATAGGTCCATATAATATCACCTATCATATAGACGGTAATTATAATCCTTACCATTCATGATCATGAGTCAATTGATTTCTTTCATCATTCTCTAATTGTTTTGTTCCATAAACCAAACCTTTCTCATATTATCATTAAAAAATAACATACTTGTCCTTGACAACTTGATCAAAAAGAATAAAATCATTCGACTGTATCTTGAACTTTTTTAATACATATAACTAAATCCTTATCTCTCTGACTACGTTTATTTGACCAAGAAACACAACTATTAAATATGATCAAGGCATATACTTTACGAAATCAAGCAATCTTTCCACATCAC